GGGCCTGCGGACCCCGAGGCCTGCGAGCGCGCGGAGGGCCGGACTCGGCCTGCGCCAGACCATCCGTTCCTCCTCAGGGCTGGGAAGGCGGGTACCCCGAGATCGTCAAGGAGAACAAGCTGTTCGAGCACTACTACCAGGAGCTCAAGATCGTGCCCGAGGGCGAGTGGGGCCGGTTCATGGACGCTCTCAGGGAGCCCCTCCCGGCCACTCTGAGAATTACTGGTTACAAAAGGTAGGGTCTGAGCGCCCAGGGCTGAGAACGGGGTGCTTGCGGGCAGAAGAGCCGCTTCCTTCCGCCCGGACGGGTGCGGGACGCACCGAGGAGGGGAGCAACGGTCCCGTGGAACAGGCCGGGGTCGGGAGGCATTGCAGGTGGGAGGCCGGGGTACGAGGTGAAAATGCAACCTTCGGTGTTAATGAGGATCCTCCTTGGGAACACGAGAGTGTTTGTGACATCGCGTTTGCCCTGCAATCTCACTTTTTAATCTATAATCAATGCAGTTATTGTCTTTCCGTGGTAAGTTGCAAGTGTAAAGGAAACTTCAGCTATTGTAGGAGGGGAAGAATGCTGCCTCGTTTTAAATTATCTTTCAGTGATCAGTGAGGTGTGTTTAAATTTAAAGGTGCACAGTAAAAAATCAGTGATGAAAGAACATCTCTTTATATTATGTAGAATTGGTTTAGCTTTAAAACACTCGTAAGCCTTTAAAGGTTAAAGTTAGCTTTTCTGATCAGTGTAAACTTGCTTATTTTTCGGTAGCCATGCAAAAGAAATTCTTCACTGCTTGAAGAACAAGTATTTTAAGGAGTTGGAGAACCTGGAAGTGGACGGTCAGAAAGTTGAAGTTCCACAGCCGCTGAGTTGGTAGGTGTCACGGTACTTCACCGTGTTGGGTATTTCTTCAAGTCTTTTTGTCCCTTGCATGTGTTTTTGCCACGGTAGATTTGCTGTGTCCATGAAAGAGCCAGATGTACTTAGCAGTCATCCTGATGTTCTGTTAGCCAGCACTTTCATTGAGTTTACAGTGGTATGGAAGTTTTCATAAAGGACTTCTTGCTCTCTGTATTTCGTTCGCATAACCCAGTTTATTTGTTCTTGTTGGTCCATTCTCTTTTCTTTCTTGATGTTTCGCTTTGGCCATTTCCATCTCTGTACAATCCCTGTTTTCTCACATCAGAACTGTTGCAGAGGGTCATCTCCGCTTTCAGATGCAGCCTGACACAGTCTGCTGTAGGTTATGTCCCATCGTTTGCAACCATAAGCTGCTTTCGTCGTATTCTAAAAGGATACGACTTTGAAAAGCACACAGCACAGGAGTGTGACTCAGATGCTGGGTTGTCCTTGGTGGTCACTGATGGCATGCTCACTGTGCTGAGGCCCTTGGAGAAGGAAGGTGTTCCTCAGTGGCCTTGTTTCTGGCGTTGCTGAGATGAGGTGGCCTTTATGGGACCTCACTTTTCTCTGTCTTGGTAACTTGTCGATACCCGTATCTACCCGAGTACCTTGGTGTGGAGATTTGATTCATGGCTGTGTTACTTCGGCGTTAGTTCAAGTAGAGGCTGTCTGACAGTTTCGCTTCACATTATTACCTGAAAATATTTGTTCGAACTTGGGTCTAGAAGTGTGATAGAGCAGGAAGGCTTGGAAGATGAGGGGGTCTTTGTCTTCCGGTCTTGGCCAGTAGGAGGACTTCTCAGTGTGCGTCTGAGCTCATGATTGTAGTCATTGTCTTCTGCAGGTTCCAACAAACTGAGGAGCCACAGATTGTTAATAAGTCTCACTCTTCATTGTTCTTTGCAAGCTGTGGTCAAACTCTCATTTTGATCCACCTTTTAAACACTTCTCCACTGCCACTGTCCTGGCATGTGTGGTTACATGACATGTATTTATTTTCAGAACAAACAACTGAAAGCTGAAGGGTATGAAGAAAAGACTGATTTGGGTTCCTATACTCATCTTTTTGTGTGTGTGTTATCAGTGGAAGTTTTCTTTAAAGACTCATTAAATACAAAAAAGTTACGTGTAGTTCTCTAAACTTATTTTATGTTAAAATCTACAAAGACCGTAAGTTAGTTGACTTAAAAAAAGGTGAAACTTGGGGCTGGGGAGATAGCTGAGCGGCACAGTGCCTGAGTTCAATTTTTGGTGCAAAGAAAAGATTAAATTGTTTGAAAACTGCTAAGGAAACGTGCTTTTTAATTTTTGTGTTTAATTGAAAGTTCTTAAATGACATTCTTAAGGTTCATGGTTTTCTTGGTTAGAATTAAAGGAGAACTTTAAGTCTATCAGTAAATCAAAATTACTAAAGATTTCAGCCTGTGATGCGTGTAAGGAAGAATATTTGTGCAAATTATATGTAGGTTGCTTATTTATTTGGAGATGAAAACTGAGGGATTTGCAGTCCGTCTGCATGCCGTGCTGTGTTCCTGTGGGTGACGTTTCGGAGCGTTGGTGAAGGGCTGACTTGCTGACCACACTGTCGTTGATCACAGACCGGGTGAGGTCGGTGGGCATTGGGCTCCTCGTCATGGCACAGGTCGCAGTGGCACAGTAGATTTTGCCAAATTCTTTAGTGGACAGCAGGTTGAGTGTGTTCCTACTGGTGAGCCTCACATGAGGCCAAAAGAATATTTAAGTGCTTTATTGAATTGCCTGGTAAATACGATTTCAGTTTGGTGTTATATTTTTGAAACATTTAAACCTCAAAGAGAGAAGCAGGAGTAGGAAATGGCTAAGGACTGGGGACCTTTGGCGGGTGGCTGTGGACGGCCCTAGCCATACTGATCTTTGTTCTCACGGGCTGTAGACAGCAGTGAATGGATGCGTTCAGTTCTGTGTCAGCAGTTTCCAAGCTTTGGTTTTTTTTATGGATTTTGTTTTGTGAAACATTTCAGCACAGAGCTGGTGTTAAAATATTTTTGAAAGTTCACCAACTGTACATTGTATGTACGTGTGTCCGCTCACTGGCGTTTTGATTCTGTGAACTGTGTGCTTGTTTAATTGGTCACTGTTACGCCTTGTTGCTCTTGACCTCTGCACCGTTAGTGATGAGCAGAGGCTCCACTTTCCTGTCTTCACGATTGCCGTTTTCCAGTAACGTCCCACCTGTGTGTTTCTCGAGTCTGCCCTGGCTCTCCTGTGCTTACTGGGCCGTGGCCCGGAGCTGTCCCTGGTGCCGCGCCCTGCGCGAGAGCGCTGTGGGTGTGGGTGGGTCGGGCCCAGTTAGACGTCTCCTCTGGCTGTGCTCTGCAGGAGCAGCGTGTTGTCAAGAGACCCCCTGGGTATATCTGATCCATAAATGTTTAATTTCCTTTTGGTCAGGTACCCTGAAGAACTTGCCTGGCACACAAATTTAAGTCGGAAAATCTTGAGAAAGTCCCCGCAGCTGGAAAGGTTTCATCGGTTCCTGGTTAGCGAAACTGAATCTGTAAGTAGATGCCGCTGGATTTGCGGGTTTCCTTACAGCGCTGTATGCGGAGGTACTTCAGAGTTCTGTTGCAGCTGTGCTGCGGTGGGGCGCACTAGGCGGGTTAGGCGCAGGAGGGCTCCTGTGAGTGCTCCCCCGCCCCCTCTGACCGCGGCGCTGTTCGATCCGGAGGTTCGGAGCCTGCTGGCCGTGCTGCCGGTTTGGTGTGTGGTGTCCTCGCGGCTGGCGAGTGGGTGGCTGTGGGGTTGGGTGAGTGTGGGCATCGATCCTGAGAGCACCACTTAACCTGCCATTTCCTTCTCAGGTGCATGTCCCAGCTGTCCCTTACACACAGGAAGTAATAGGTTTTTAAGGCCTCGGTATGAGGCTTTTCAAGAAGTTCATTTTATTGAAAATAGCTTTTCTCTTCATCGTCCTCCTGCATGTCGCTCCTATACTGTACCCTTGCCAAGAACCGCAAACACCCAAGCACAGGTTGGCTCTCGCAGGACGCTGTTCATCCCCACAGGCTGCCCTCCCTTTGGTCACTGGGCTGCTTTAAAATTGCACCCTCCCCAACAGAACCGCTCTTCTCTGGTACAGTGAGGAGTTCCGTAAATACTCACGTGGTTTGGGTATTAATGAGCTTCGCCGTTTCCCTTTTATTTCTTTTGGAATTCTTAGTCTATTTCAAGGTAAAGGTTTCCTCCGTCCTTTCCCCAGTCTGCTGCCTCACAGCCAGGTAAATCTCTGAGTGTCATCAGCTTGCTCCTTCTCTTCTCACGGTGAGCTCACACACATACTGTGCTTTCCAAGTTTCTTCCCTGAGGCGTTAGCCAGTTCCGAAGCCATGCGCCTCACTCAGTTCTGATTTCCACTCTAGTCCCACCTGCTTTCTGCTTGCGTGGCAAGAGCTGAGCTCTGCCACGCGCCCTGTCTGTGCTTGGTGCTCTTGCTCAGCCCTTAGCCTGGGTGGGCGGGCAGTAAGGACAAGCGGACGGGCGCAAGCAGCTCGGGTCTGCACTTGGGATAGTCTGGAGGGCGTGTGGGGACCAGTGTACATTCAAAGGTCTCACAGAGCCAGGGTGATGTGCAGCTGGCCTCAAACTTGTGGGACAGAATTAGGGGGTGACATGTGAAGTAGCGGTGCAGGTTTGGACTGTTAGGTGCCTACATTAAGAATGAATGGTGGCTTTCTGGCTGCAGCTTGGGCACCAGAGTCCAGGTGGGGTGGAGCAGGGGTCTGGGGGAGCCCATGGAGGCTGCAGCAGCAGGCCAGTGTGCGTCTGAGCATTGTCTGAGGTGGCAGAGCCCTGACCCGGAGCACAGTGACTGGGGAGGGTGTTTGGGTGTTGGTCATGCAGAGAAGGAGGACAGAACAGTGACTGATGTGTTCTCTGAAGGGCAGCAGTGAGGAGTAGGAAGTGGATGTGGATAGTTCCTCAAAGCAGGGCTGGACCAGAAGGCAAGTTGGACTTGAGCTAGGAAGAAGCGGTCTGATGGTAACCGTGTCCTGGGCTCCCGCCTGCCAGCAGTGTTGAGCTAGTGGGTCTGCCCTTGAGAGCTGCTCCCCAGCCCCATGCTCTCTGGAGGGGAGGAGTTGGGCCTCCCTGTTACACCTGAGCTGCTGGTGTTTCCTGGCACGTGTTGGTGTTACAGTTACCCTTAGTTGGCCTTAGATAGCAGCCATTCACCCACTGACAAGAAAACCTGTTCGCAGTTAGTGTGCGTGCTACAGGATAGTACCAAATCTATGGTTCTGTGTGAAATTACGTGATCTTTTTCTGTTGCATTTGACCTACTAGGGCGCGTTACTGAAATTCTCTGCCATTTGTTTTATTGTTGATTTTCTCCCCCAAGGGAAATATCAGCCGCCAAGAAGCTGTGAGCATGATCCCGCCGCTGCTGCTGGACGTGCAGCCGCATCACAAGGTAGTGTGTGGGATCAGAGCCCGGGGAGTAGGCTGTTGTCAGGGTTGTGCTGTGTGATGTGTTCTTTGAAACCTTTCAGGTTTCTTTCCCCACTTGGGAAGGAGAATGGTGTGTGTTTTACGTCAGGTTCTTGTACTTTTGACAATTTGTAGAACTGTTTTTCCCTTTTAAATTTTATAATGCGCTTCCGTGCAGACATCAGCAATCTTGGTTGGCCAAATCACACTGAAAATTATAACATGGGCTCATTGTATGCCGAACGCCATCAGTGCCTTTTAAGTGCCTTACTTCCTCTTTTCATCCGTATGCCCCTACGAGTAGATATACCACCTCCATCTTACTTTTCCGGAACAGAAGCAAAAGTAATTGACACAAGGTCCGGGAGCTGCTCCATGGCCGAGCTCTGTCCTCTGCGTTAGGCTGCTGGGTTCTTGCTGTTCTTTGGTGAATGTAGTGTTCCATGGGAGTCCAGGGTCCTCTCTCCCTTTCGGCTGGAGGCTGCACCTGCATCCGTTTGTGTTTTTTTTCTTTTCAGAATATTAGATTCCATGGGGTTCCTAGTATAGAAGTCCTCTCATGAAGAAATGTGTGTAGATGCTGGGATAAAGATCAGAACACTAGAGTCCCTCATGAAATCATTTTATGTTAAATATAGAAAACTTATTTTTTGTGAACCTCTAACACTTTCTTGCTTTGCTTTTAGATCCTAGATATGTGTGCAGCACCTGGATCAAAGACTGCACAGTTAATTGAAATGCTGCACGCCGACATGAATGTCCCCTTCCCAGGTACGCGCTGCAGGGTGGGGAGCGACCAGGTGGGAGGGAAGCCGGGAAGAGCTGCTCTTGAGGTCCCAAGATCTCCAGGACAAACATACGGGTTTTCTGTGTACTGAAGGCCGAGCGAGACATTTCTGTAAAGTCAGGAGTTCTCAAACAACACATCCTTGCCTTTTGGGGGTACTTTGCTTTATGTTTATATTTTCCGTAAAAGCTTTTGTTTTCTGGAGGTGGCAGTCAAGTCCACTGATAACGTACGGGTGTCACAGCGTCGCATTTTTGGTAGAACATTTCAGGCCCTCCCTGCGTGTGTTGAGCTCTGCAGGGCTTGGGGCTTGGTGCTCTCCATCGCCTCACAGGCCAGGAACGGGAGGCAAGGGTGTCTCAGGGCGGCAGAGTGCCAGACCAGGCAGCTGCTGCTGAGGTGTTGCCTATGCCCCTTAGGACTCAAAACATGGGCTCTGTCGATGGTGTTTATCATTGTCAGCATCGTCTCCCTTTCTTTCCTTGAGCCATCTGTCCAGGTCTGTTTAAGCAGGCATATTTGCTAGCTATGTGTGTGTGAGCCCCCTTACGTTAATCAGGGATCTTCTTGCTAAGAAAAGTGTTCTTTCTTCTTTCCTGGGTAAAATCGAAGGCAGAGAGCTTGGGTCCTGTGAGCAGGAGCAGTTTCCCTCTTTGTGTTACTGAGGCTTTGCTCCTGGCATGGTTTTGCAGGATGATCCTGGTTATCAGAAGCGCTGTGAAGCATACTCCACCTGCCTTTGTGCTGGGCTTGTGGGAGGGTGCAGAGCTGTTGCGGCAGCACCTGGGGCCGAGTGGTTCTCAGCCTGGTGGCTCAGCAGCGTGTCTGTCCCAAGAGCAGCTTGTCTGTTCAGGTGCTCAGATAGGAGCCCACTTTGCGGTCTGGAGCAGAGCCTTGGCACCAGCAGCATTTTAACACTTTCAGATGGTTCTGCTGTTTTCTGCACCTTTTCTCACCTTTCTTTGTAATCACTTCCTAGTTGTAGGAAAGACATTGTTAACACAGTATTCAGTACAAAGTGAATCATTGCTGGACAGGGGCGTCTTGAAGGTTTGAAATATTTAGGCAGGTGTAAAATCCATGCAGAGCCACCTCTCCCCCTTTTTTGGGACAATTACGTTTTTCTAGAAAATCTTGGCGTAAGGCTTTATGGTTAGTGAATTGCTGTGTCTCACCTGCTAACCTAGAGGTTATGTGTTTAAGAACATTACTCCGCTTCTGCCGCGTCTCTCCTGACACTGCTCTTTTATGTTCGCAGAGGGATTTGTTATTGCCAATGATGTGGACAACAAGCGCTGCTATCTGCTCGTTCATCAAGCCAAGAGGTTAAGCAGTCCCTGCATCATGGTGGTGAACCACGATGCGTCCAGCATCCCTAGACTTATGGTAGATGTGGACGGACGGAAGGAGGTCCTCTTCTATGATCGAATTTTATGTGATGTCCCTTGCAGGTATTTATATTGTGAAGAGGCCAGAAAGCCCAACCCCCGTAAAGGAATCAAATCAGGTGTAGGCTCAAGTGCAACTACACGTGGACACACATGCGGTGTGTGTGACTTTTGTGACCGCTGGCATGGAGAGAGACGTCCTGAGCCTCAGCAGAAGGTGGACAGTGCCTGGGTGAATTGGCTCAGCTTGATCCTGGGTGTAGAGCAGAGGGGCAGCGGAAAGGGTGGTTTAGACGAACAGCGAGCAGACTGCACAGTCGTGCGCTCTGGCTCACGCTCTGGCCTACTTCAGGGTATCGCACGGAATGGTTTCGCAACCCAGGTATTTTTGTAAAGACTCATAGAATAATACACAGTCACATCGGCTTTGCCTGCTGAATCTTACGTTACGCAGTGAAAGAAATGGAGGAGTTCAAACCTTTGAGAAACTATGTCTGTATATACTTCTCTTCAGATTTTACCCAGTAGATGTTAGTTTTTGTGTAGAGCATTCAGTGATGCAGTGAGGAGCTGAGTGTCTCCTGAAGGAGACGCCCACTGTGGAAGTCTGCTGGGAGTCAGGCACGGGAGGAGCCAGCTCCTTTGTGGCAGGTGTGTGGCACAGCCGCGGTGATGCAACCGCTGACCCGGCACGCTGAGGGAGACTTTCAGCACCATGCCTCCTTGTCCTCAGGCCAGGGCAGAGCCCCATTCGCGACAGAGATCTGTTTGGAACTTGAACCAGAAGCACTGAAGTTGGCTGCATTTCAGTACCTGAAAAGCTCTGAGTAAATTTTTTAAAATGGACTACCTTATATAGCTTGCAGCAGGTGAAACTTAGTAAATAAGTCATAAGCTCAGTTCCCTTTTCCAAATTGTAGTTTCCTCAGTCACCTGGTTTTCCTTTCTCAGCTCTGTGTTCTTTTGATCTGAAATAGAACTCATTGCTTGTGTCATATTCTGAGAGTAAAGTGACCTTATGAGCAATTGGTTGTAAACAGAAGACATTCCTGAAATTATTGTGGAGTTCCCGCTGTCCTAACTCGCAGCTTCCAGCTTGGGGCATCATGTGAAAGTAGGAATCACACCTCTTGGGACGTAACTGTCCTTTGGAGCACATGTGGGGTTGGCCCGAGGGAAATTAAATGTGACAGAGAAGTCAGCATAGGCAAGAATAAAACCTGGAAAAAAATTGGTTGGATGTAATTGCCGTGGACAGAAGATTACAAATCAAGTCTGTATTTTAAAATGTACATGGAGATAATTTCCATTAATGAAAACATGAGACTAATTCCCCTTAAATGAAAATAGAAAGTCAGAAATGTTTTAACTATGATCATAGAATTGAATAATGGAATTAAATTGGCCTAATTGAAATTGCTGTGGAAAAACCTTTTGAGTATAAATAGTGTTATTCATTTAGTTTTGATTAAGATGTCATTGTTGATTAAGGCTTATAAGTAGCAGGACTCAAGGTTCTGTGTGGTAAGTCTGCGAACCAGTTCTGCTAGGACAGGTTGAGCTTCCTGATCCGAAACTCCTCGCGCTCCAAAATCAGAAACCGGGGCTGGGGATTTAGCTCAGTGGCAAAAGCGCCTGCCTGACAAGCGCAAGGTCGTGAGTTCGGTTCCTGGTACCGGAGAAAAACCAAAAAAAAAAAAAAAAACCAAAATCAGAAACCGAGTGTTGCTGTCACGGCACAAGTGAAAATTCCACACCTGAGCGCAGGGGAGGGCTTGCAGTGAAGCACAGACCTCTTGAAAGTGCTGCACAAGATTGCCTCCAGGCTGTGCGTGCGAGGCCTTGTCACAGACACCTTCCATGTGCAGCGTGGCTGTCCGCCCCGAGGAGCTCGTTACATATGTGTGCACGTTCACAACCTGAAGAAATCCCGAAACACTTGGGGGCCCAAGCATTTTGGGTCAGGGATACTCAACTTGTATTTCTCCCAAATGAATGCAAGTTAATCTCTTTAGGAGATGAGTGATAGTTCTTGTTCAAATCTGAGATAAAGTGTTTTAAGACTACCTCTCAAATAGAAGCTTGGTTGTCATTTGTGAGTGTTGAGAGCGTGTTCTAGTTGGACTGCGTAGTCATACCTGGTCTGTGATGTGGTTTGGGTGTGACACGCCGTGTCGTTTCAAGTGGTTGGATGTCTTCTTTCCAGCGGGGATGGCACCATGAGGAAAAACATCGATGTGTGGAAGAAGTGGAGCTCCTTGAACAGCCTGCAGCTGCATGGGTGAGTGAGCCGCGGCGCCTGTGCTCGGCTGGGCGGGCGCCGTGCGCTGTAAGTGCTGTGGCTCGGCATCCAGGCCTTCAGTCCGGCCCTGGCGTCCGGAGTGACAGCCGGCGGGGCCTTGGGAGAGTTTGCTTCTATGTCAGAATTTGTTTTTAATACCTTCCAAGAGTACTAACTAGAAACTACGTCTTTAAGGTACACATGTACTATAAAAAATCTTTTAATAATTCCAGCGTGCAAACATTTTTCCCTGCAGGGATCGTTTTCTGCACATCTCAACAAATTTTTTTCTCTTCATTTTTCTTTCATTTGTGATACTAATTTGCTTAACCATTTGACCTTTCAGAGTAATTTTAGATAGTATTTATAAGGAAAATACTTACTAAAGAAAATATGGAAAATTCTTAAAAGAAGTGCAAGGAAAATCTCATCCTCAGCCGTAGCTGAGTCGAGTCAGTGTGCTTCCGTGTCTCCTGCGCAGAGAGGCCTGAGCTACTCACTGGAGCCGCTCGGGTTGCTGTCTGTGCAGCTCTGCCTGCCTTCTCCATTCTCACAGGTGGAACTGTGGGCGGCCTAAAGTGTACTGATGAAGATTCCACAGGTCACTTCAGCAGGATCTTTTGATTCTCTGTAAATACTTACTACCACTTTTTGTAGAAGGAAAGCAAGCATTAGGATTAGAATATATGAAGGGGTATAAATGTTTTACAGAAATTTCACATTTGTGCAAATCTAGTTCTTTAGTAGTGAAATGCATTTAATTGTGGATTTGATTGCTAATAAGCTGTGTCTTTGCTTGATGTGTTGGCAAGGCAGAGAAACAAACATTTTTTTGTGTGAGGAGAGGCTTTTGGTACTAACACAAAACAGCTCGTGGAAGTCGACCCTAACTCCACTTACAGGCTTGAAACTTGTGTTACGAAAACCGTAATAAATCGGTGCTTGTGAGCGCTCGTGTGGGTGCGCTCAGTCTCTGGGTCACCTGTGCCAACCCTTAGCTTGCAGCTGCGGATTGCAACGCGCGGCGCTGAGCAGCTGGCGGAAGGGGGTCGCATGGTGTACTCCACGTGCTCCCTGAACCCCGTCGAGGACGAGGCCATCATAGCGTCTCTCCTGGAGAAAAGCGAAGGTGAGCGGGCTGCGTGATCTCTTGGTAAATGTGTGCGTGCTTACGATGTGTGCCCCCGCCGCCCGTCTGGGACTTGGCTTGTGTGTGAGCCCTGAAGCCGGAACACCTCAAACGCGGTGTCTCAGTCGAACACATTCACGTGGTAGATTTCTCATGCTGTGTGGAATATGTGAAAGGTGGGGATTTGAAAACGAGATTTGCTCATTCTGCTTGTCTGAGTTCGGAAGATGATGGCCAATCCTTGTCATACTGGTTTATTTTTAAAATTTTGACTGGGAAATTTTCATTGTGTCAGGCATGGGGCACGGGTAGGGTTCCCTGGAAGAACGCGGCTGGCCCTGAGCTGTGTGCTAGCCCACCGCCACGGTTTTACAGGAAGGGTTGGGATCCCCACTGGACTGCTAGAAACCCCAGCTGGGTGGAGCGCGGGCCGTGGCTGAGCTTGCAGGTGGCAGACGGGCCAGCAGGGTCACTCGCAAAGCCCTGGGCAGTTCGGAGGTGCCTGTGCTCTGGTTTGGTGCTGGCTTTATAGGAAAACTCAGAAACCGTAGCAGACATCAGGAAGATGCCACGTGAAGGGTTCTTCTGCCCCTTGTCCGCCTTGGTGGTGCTTTCACTTGGTTTTTATGTGCTCAGACTTCTCACAGCTTCTGCGCAGAGCTTTGTTGGGGTGTCCTTCCCTGAGAAGTTGTCACCTCTGTGTGGACAGTTTGTGGATAGGAGCTGAAGCAGAGGTTTCCTAGCTCCCCTTCCAGCTTTCGTAGGTGTCAGTGTCGGAGGGCAGAGTGCGTATTTAAAATTGATCTGAGTTGTGATGGACCGTTTTACAAACTCATTGGGATAAAAAATAGTGTCCACCTTTTAGTATTGCCTTGTGTTTCCGCATGTTCGTTGTGCACACAGGCAGGGAGACCCCAGCCATGTGAGCAGGGTGTGGGGCCGGCGCATGGAACTGCACACTGGGTCCCGGCCTGGCGGAGTGGTGTGCGGGTGCAGCTCCGTGGTGTTAGCCGCGTATTCGCAGAGGGACTGTCCGATACTGTTGTGTTCTGGCGGCTCTGTTGAAGTGTAGGTCACCTGAGGTCACGTTCACGTATTTAAAAGTGCACGCTAAGTGGTTTTCAGTGAACTTCACCGCTGAGCCCCCGGCTGGTCCCGGCTGCGTGCAGCATTCCACCACAGAGGATCTATGTGTCGCTCCATGCCCCGCCCAGCCCCCGGCAGCGGCTGCTGTCCTGTGGTCAGTGACTTTGCCCTCTCTGGGTATTTGCCTGAGTGGCCCTGTGCAGGGTGAGATCTCTTGTTTCTGGCTTCTTTCACTGGGCATAGTGTACCATCCCTTTGGGGAATTTTTTTTCTTTCTAAACAGGCGCCCTGGAGCTGGCTGACACGTCCGCCGAGCTGCCGGGGCTGAAGCGGATGCCTGGACTCACGCAGTGGAAGGTAACGCTGTGGAGGACAGGGTTCGGGGGAGCAGGGCTGTCACAGGTTCGAGCAGTCTTGTCGGGGGAGGTGAGCCGGTGCTACCCGGGCTGCATGGTTTAGAGGGAGCACCGAGACTGCGTGTAATGGCAGATGCTGTGACTGTACACGCTCTTCTCTGGCATGGAAAACTTTTTTTTTTGCTTTTATCCCACTTACAGAAACCAGCTTTGTTGTTTCCTTAAGTGCAGCGTTGCTTTGTTTTTGATGGTCAGGCCTTTAAAGCTTCATTCCCCCGAGGAAAACAGTTCAGTTTACAGTTTCCGTCGAACTAGAACCCAGGAGTTATTTTAAAAACAAAAAAGAAAGCTGTGTGGAAAACGTTCCTTTATCGGAGGGGTCCTGGTTTCGGAAGTACTTCACGCTGTGTTTTCAGCGCACAGTGTGTGACCTGAGGGTGTTGGGAAGAGTCTGTTCTGGGTTGGGAGACGGCCCTGCCTTGGTCCTGGGTGGTCCCTTCCCGCTGCCCGCCCAGGAAGCTGCCGTCTCACCTGCAGGTCATGACGAGGGAGGGGCAGTGGTTTGCGGACTGGGATGAGGTTCCCCGCAGCAGGCACACCCAAATCCGGCCCACCATGTTCCCACCAAAGGACGCCGAAAAGTTACAGGCCATGCACCTGGAGCGCTGGTGAGTTTGGGGGTGCCCTGCGGTTTGGGGCAGGGCAGGCCGCGGGGACACAGGTGTGAGGATGGCTGTTCCAAGGCCACCACGGTGTGTGGGGACTTCCACAAGCTGGCAAGACGCTCCTGCTCCCGGTTCGCTGCTGCACAGAGCGTTGTGCGGGAAGCTGTGTGTGAGGGCCGCTGAAGGATTTGCGTGGAGACCTGGCCTTTCAGTCTTGGTGGTCCTCGTCTTAACACTAAAGAATGCGTTGGGCTTGTTCATGAAGTATAAACTGTACGTGTGTGATTCTAGCCTTAGGATATTGCCACACCATCAGAACACGGGCGGATTCTTCGTGGCAGTCTTGGTGAAGAGGTCTTCGATGCCGTGGAATAAGCGTCAACCAAAGGTAAGAGCTTTATTCCAGAACAGTGTACAGAGCGTTTGGGCATTTCACACCTTTAGGACAGAGTGAGCGATCAGCTGAAGAGGGGCTGAGCCTGAAGGAGGCAGGACTTGTTTAAAGTGCGAGTTTTCCAGCAAGCAGACATTTGTCACTGGGGACAGGTGGTGAAAAGCCAGTGTCTGAGCAGTGAATTCCACCTGCATCTTAAACCCGGTTATATAATAACAATTGAAGAGATGCGAATACTGATCTGAGGCTTCGAATCCGATGCCCCACCTTCTGCCCCAGTACCCACAGATTCGTTCCTGCCCATGCAAGTCTACAAAACCAGGCACTGCAGCGGGCAGCCTTCCTTGCCTTGGCCCTGAGCACCTTGGAAGGCTTTGGCAGGCCTGCTTAGTGAAGGGCCTGGCCTGGCGTGAGGAGAGCAGGCAGCCCGCGGCTCCCTTCTGCGAGGGCCACCTGGAAGCAGCCGGGTGCCGCTCTCCCGTCAGCGCTGTCACTGCTGCACTAGTGTGAGTCAGTCTCCGTTAGGGAACTGCAGGCAGCGTGAGCACCTGAGAATTGGGAGCTGTGACCCCTAGCCTTTGGAGAAGGGAAGGTGGTTTTCCGGTGGCAGAGCTGGGTCAGCCTCTGACTGGCAAAGGCCCAGCCCTGCACTGGCAGGCCCCTGCCGAGGCCCGGTCGTCCTGTCTGGAAGGGCTTCGTCGAGGAAGTCTGCCGTGGAGACCTTTTTCCCGGGAGTCCCGGCTCCCTCTGCGGAGTCAAGCTGTGGTGCTCGGCCCTGTGCCCCAGCCCGGTGTGTAGCCTGCGCTTCCTGGCAGCTGCAGTGTAAGAAGTGAAGTTAACTGTAATGTTACTCTTCCCGGGATATGTTAAAAGTATCATTTTCAGGTAGTCAGTGTAAGAAACTCTGGACACCAATTATATTTGTTGATAGTGTGTTTTAACAGTAAGAAGTGTGTTACTGTTTGTTTATGATTTGGTGCTAGAAACTGAACCTAAGGCCTCAAAAAAAAATACCACTGAGCTCCATAGCGCCCCCAAGCTGCGCGGGGTTCCCGCCTAACACCCCGTCTCACTTGGCGCTGGTCGCACCATAAGCAGGGTGTGTACCTAGTCACTCTGGCCGAGCCGAGAGCGGCCTGCCCGTGCACTGCACTGCGCTGCAGGTTTACTCGCGCTGGGCTGTCCGGGTGGTTTTGCCGTGTCCCTGCCTGTACCAGCCAGCTTTGCGTTGGGAGACGCGGCCCCCGGAGGAGGAAACGTTTCGTTTAGCTCCTGGCTTCACGGGCCAGGTCCACGGTCACTGGCTTCGAGCGCCCCACCAGTGCCCTGGCAGCGCCTCGGCCGGCCAGCGCGACACAGCCCAGCGTAGCTGGCGGACCCCTGTGTGGTTGGGGGTGGCTGTCCTGCAGTTTGCCCCTGGTGAGTTGTCACGCGTTTTAGGGTCCCTGGTTACACTTGCCGGTTTAGCTGGCAGCTCTCCTCTCCCGGTTCGCCGTTTGTCCGTCCTGACTCGTTGGTGCGGGGCACAGCCTGCCTCAGACCCAGGGAGGCAGCGCGGGGCCCGAGCCCTCGCAGGCAGCGTGCCGTTGGCGTTTGAGGGGAGCCGGCAAGCGGCCTCGGCGGGTTGGGGAAGGCGCTGTGGGGCGACGGAGATGGGAGAGGGCCAGGCAGCACGCGGCGCGTTCCCGCGCTCTTCGCGCCGGAGCGGCTGTGCTCTGGCGGGCAGCGTTCCGAGTGCCGTGGGCTGAGGCTTTGTGGCCGCGCGACACCGAGGAAGGTGCGGAGCCGTCCTCGCAGAAGTGCCCAGCTTGTACACTTACGCTTTGGTCCGTGAGCGCTTCTGTGTGCGGGTAATTCTGTTCTCAGAAGCATGGGGCAGGAGCCCGCTTCCATTCACAGACTTCACGCCGGGAGACACACGTCCGCAGCCATCTGCCCCAAACCGTAAAGCAAATTAAGTTCATAAAGTGAGGCACCACTGTATTTCACAAGAGTAGGAATTGACGCTTTCACCAGTCTTGTGACCTGGTGGACAGGTTACAGTTTTAAAAGGTTCGTGTGTGTATGTGCTGGGAATTGAACCCAAGGCCTTGCTCATGCCGGGCAGGTCCTGCGTCGCTGCGCTACACCCCAGCCCTGAGGCGAGTCACTGCAGCCTAGCATCTTATGAGTGCTCAAGGCCGGGCTCAGTTACCCTGTTGTCCTAATTTAAGAGTTTGTTCTTGGCTTTCTGACCACATGTGTTCTGGGCCAGGTCTTACCCACTTCCTTCGCCCCTGCTAGACCTCAGAGGCCTTCTGTCTGTGAGCAGAGGGGGACCGAGGAGCCCCAGAGGAGCAGGGCCCGAGATGCTGTTGTGAAGGGCAGGCACGTTAGAAACGACGCCTTCCCTTGGGATTCTGCTCCCCTCATGTCCCATCCCATAGGAAGGTGGAGTACGCTGGTCCTTACGTGAATGCATTTGCTCCCTGCCACAGGTCCAGGGCAGATCTGCAGCTGGCAGAGAAACCTCGGAGCTGAGCCCTGCGGCTCCTGCAGAAGGGCCACCCAGCGACCCCCCTGAGCTGGACAGCCAGGCAGCCACAGGGGCTGGTGATGCGGAAACCACTGAGGCAGCCGAGAATTCAGAGAATCATGACAATAAGAAGGATGGCGTGTGTGGGTGAGGAGGCCTGCCCTGGCGGGAGGGGCTCACCAGGGGGAGCGCAGAGCTGGGGCAGGGCAGGGCACGCCCATCCTGTCGGCTCCCCGCCTGGCTCCCTGTGGACTCCGGCTGCCCAGCGCGGAGCTCGGGGAGGGGGAGTGCGGCACTGCCTGGTCACGCTACCCCTGCTTTCCCGTTCCTCTAGTCCTCCCCCTTCGAAGAAGATGAAGTTATTCGGGTTTAAAGAAGATCCGTTTGTGTTTATTCCCGAAGATGACCCCCTGTTCCTGCCTATTGAGTAAGACCCGGCTCTCCTGAACCTTCCTTTAGATAGTGGGCTGTGCAGTGCCGGATGTGTGGCGGGGGCCGAGCGCCCGCTGTGCGGGGAGCTCTGTGGCTCCCTCCCTGTGAGCCGTGTGCCGGGGGTGAGACTTCACAGTTCTGCCCTCAGCCTTCGTGGTAGGCGAAGGGGCAGAGGAGAAGGGAGCTGCCCTGAGGGAAAGGTGACAGGCGAGCATCCGCCGTGACCCCACTCGCAGCTCACCCCGTTGAGCTGGAGGCGAGTGCCCGAGGCTGCCCAGTCGGCCTTACTGAGGCGTCGGAGAGAAGGCGGCGGGGCTGGCGCAGAGGGAAGAGCGGCAGGTTGGCCGTGTCCGTGCCCCAAGTGGTCATGCCTCCCGCCTCCCAAGTAGCTGCCCAGTGCATGCGCTCATGAAAGCTGGCGCGGTCCTTGGCGTTGGCGTGGCAGGTGAGGGGGTGGGCTGCCGGGGCCGGCGGGGGCCTGGACCTGTTGTGCCGCACATGTGCGGCTGGAGGTTGTGCTACGGGAGAGGAGCTGCGGGGTGGGGGACCCCCAGAGCCTGCTGCTGTGCAGCCCTGAGGCGGCGAGACCAGCCGATCCGGCAGGGCCCGGAGTTCGGAGTGCGGGACAGTCTGCCGCACTTGAGAACGGCCTGTGTGACGCAGCGCTCCGTTCACAGGAAGTTCTATGCTCTGGATCCCTCGTTCCCGAGGCTGAATCTGCTAACCCGAACTACAGAAGGGAAGAAGAGGCAGCTCTACATGGTGTCCAAGGAGCTGCGGAACGTGCTGCTGAACAACAGCGAGAGGATGAAGGTGCGCCGGGACTGAGGGCGGGGGCGGGCGGGGGCGGGGTGACGGTGTGCTCGCCCTGCGGCCTGCACAGCTCCGGGTGGGGTGAGGGCGCCCGGCGGGCATGGGTGGGGCCGCCGCATCCTCCCTGCTTGGGTCACCCGCCCCTTGTCATCCGCCCTCAGCCTCTGGTGCCTCCTCCCCCGCCCCTGTTCACGGGACACAGCGGGTTGCCCGGCACACCCGGCTCACCCAGCCGCGGACTGGGCTTGGTCACACTCCTCGGTGGAGCCCTGTGCCTTGGCGGGTGCAGCGAGTGCCGACCGGTCCTCGTGTTCGGTGTCCAGCTGTAATCCCTGCGGTGGGGGTGTGTGACCGTGTGCTGTGTGCAGGCAGCACCCGTGGAGACCCTGCTGCGCTGAGGTGGCCGTGTCTCCCACGCCGACCTTCGCAGCTGCCCCTGCGTCCTCGCTGCTCACAGAGGCAGAGATGGTCTTCAGTGCTATTTTTTCTTGCAGGTTATTAACACAGGGATAAAAGTCTGGTGTCGAAATAACAGTGGTGAAGACTTTGATTGTGCTTTTCGGTTGGCACAGGAGGTAATTTTAGGAATAGCTTGGACAGCCCTAGCCATGACCTTGGGAGTGAGCGGGCTTTGGCTGGGAGTAGAGCCTAGTGCCCGAGGGGCTGGTGGGCCCTTCCGTCTGTGGAAGCCGTCAGGCGGCAGGTTCGAGCTCCTGGGGGTGTGGGCTCTGCCCCGTGCGGTGTGTGAGGAGCGCTCTCAGCAAACCCAGAACGCCCTGTGGGCAGGGGGGATCGTTGTGCTTGTGTGGAGGCGCAGTGATGTCTTTATTCCTACAGGGAATATATACATTGTATCCGTTTATTAATTCAAGAATTATTACGGTGTCCATGGAAGATGTTAAGATCCTGTTGACCCAGGAAAACCCATTTTTTAGAAAACTCAGCACGGAGACATACAGTCAAGCCAAGGACATGGGTAAGCAGCTGGCGTTGCAGTGGTTCGTACGTCCTGCAGGGACGTGAAGTGCAGGTGCTTCTGTTTCCTGGGCGCAGTTTTCAGTCACGCTGTGGGATTGTGAGTGACTTAGCGCTGACCTGGCGAATGCGCAGAGTTGCAATGTTTTGGGGTGAACCCCGTACCATTTCGTGGAGTCTTGGTACTGCAGGCACCCTGGAGCCCGTGCTGTGTGTGCTAAGGAACTGCACAGTGCAGGGCTCTTCCTTGACTCCGTCAGTGTGCACAGAGCTCTGTAATTGACATCTTAACCCTTCAAGTATCAGAGGCGTCTGGAGGGGTGCTCTGCTCCCCAGCCTCTGCACAGCCCCGGGTACCCCCAGCAGCCCACGCCGTGTCTGCACTGCATTCAAGGCCAGCCTCTCTTGAGCCACCCATGGGAGGCAGCTGGCCCGGCTGGAGAGCCCAGGGTGTCGGGTGTGCCCACTAGCCAGCGTTTGACCCTTCTCCCAGCCAGCAAGTGCAGAGCTCCCTGGGGCCTGACTTCACCTCCGTGATAAGGCGCAGGTGATCTGCTGACCAGTGTCTGTATTGCAGCACAGCCATCAGTGTTGCGGAGCAGCACAGCCCGTCCTGCTTGCCAGCAAGGTTACGGTATCGGCTGCGTTGTTGCATCTGGATAACTGATTGTTCAGGGCGCCTGGCCTGGTCTGATGAAAACGGCGTGGTCAGGCCTGAAATTGTGTGGTGGCCTCGCGTGGCTGTCAGCTGTAGGCCTGCAGCAGCAGAGCGCTGTGTGACGTCTGCCGCCGCCTCCTGTGTCGGCAGGAGCCACAGCGAGAGGCGGGAGAGATCCGCGTGCGGATGAGGGAGCGGTTTATGCTTGTCGTTTTCGCTTAACTCCTCGTTCCGCTGATTGCAGTATAAGTTTTGATAATTTTTGCGTTATTTCACGCCATTTCTAGGAGTTGAGACTGTAATTTATTTAATTTTGAATCTGAGAGGGAGCCAGTTGCTACTTCCCAGCCTCCCTGCTCTGGAGAGGCCTGGCGGACCGGTGTCACTGTCACGCCCCGGGCAGTGGGGCACGGGCCTCTGCATCCCAGGGGTCATCGTGTGCTCAGGCTGTGCAGGGGTCCTTGTTCTGTCCTCTGAATAGCACAGCAGGGTAGCAGTCGTGTTCGCCAGCCAGAGAGCTTTGCAAATGTGTGTGTTTCTCTTCCAGCGAAGGGAAGCGTGGTGCTGAAGTATGAACCGGATTCCGCGTAAGTCGCAGGCGCCTTGCGCTGATGAGTGCGTTCTGGCTGAGGGCGTGTTCAGGAGGGGTGGGAGCCCTCGTGACCTTAGTGGCCTTTTACTGCTGCTCTAAGAGTAGATTGTGCAGGGTGTGGCGCACAACTGTCATCTCAGCACTCGAGAGGCTGAGGCAAGAGGATCGCTGTGAGTTTGAGGCCAGCCTAGGCTACAAAGTGAGCTCAAGGCCAGCCTGAGCTGCATAGCGAGACCCTGCGAAAACTCGCATAGATCACTAAGGAGAGAGCTACTTCACGGAAGCGTCGGCTCAGACCTTGTGTACTTGTGTTTGTAGAGAGATGCTCTCTGTGCCCTACAAATGGGTGCTGACTTCCAACTTAATACAGAATAGCCAGAATAGGGACAGCTGGTCTCCCGCGAGGCCGAGCTCTTATCACAGCTCAGCTGAGAGCTTCCTGAGAGGCAGACGGGTCCCGCCCGGGACCCCTGGTGCTCAACATTCGTTCGCTCGTCAAGCCTTGAGGGGGTCTCTGGGGCACGGGCCGCCGTGGGCAGCCCTTGGCGAGTGAAGGAGCTGGGTGCAGAGTCAGGCGTCCTGCAGGGGCCGGCTCACGTGGAGGCTGGGAGGGCCTGCCTGGGCTCGGGCACAGGCCCGGCCTGTGGAGTGGACATGCACACAGCGGGCAGGGCTGGGGTTGTGGCTGGGCTTGCTGTGGACCCCGTCCTGTGAGGCGCTGAGTCGGGAAACGGTGGGTGTGCGGTCCCCAGGGCTGTGTCTGCCTGTGCAGGGACAGCAAGGCGCGGTGCAGACAGGGACGTGGAACCTGCGTACGGAATGCCCTGGGCCGGCCCTGTGGGGCAGTCCCCGCCCTCACGGGCTGGGAGGTGGATTTCAGGGGTGCTGATGCGGTCGCTGAAGTTGGTGTTGATGCGATGCGTCTTTGTGCGCAGGAGTCCGGAGGCCCTGCAGTGCCCCATTGTGCTGTGCGGGTGGCGGGGCAAGGCCTCCATTCGGACCTTCGTGCCCAAGAACGAGCGGCTGCACTACCTCAGGATGATGGGACTGGAGGCGCCAGGCGAGAAGAAGGAGGGCGCCCCCCCTCCCAGCGAGGCTGCGGCGGGCTCGGTGTCGCCGGAGGGCAGGCTGGGCGAGGAGCTGGCGGAGGAGCCCCGCGGGGAAGAGGCAGGTGCCCCGGGCACCACTCCGGGCTCCGAGCCGCCCCACGCGGACACCGGGCGCTGAACTGGCTCTGTGGGCCCTGGTGTCACACCTGAAGTCGGCGCCTCTGCTGGACTGGAAAGTGTTCTTAGAGACCAGCACTCTGGGCTGACCTGGGCTCGTTCTGGGCTCAGTGTTGCTCTGCGGAGCTCAGAAGAGAGCACCTTTGTGGCCTCCAGTTGCTTCCTTGTGCTCTGGCAGAGCGGGCCTGAGCAGCTGTCTGCGACTCCACCTGCAGGTCGTCCTGTCCTGCAAAAAGCGAGGTGCCCTTGCAGCAGGCTGGCACACCTTTCCTTGTGCCCACGTTCATCAGGGCCAGTGTTTTACAAGTTATTATTTATAGGCAGGGTCCAGCTCTGCGAGAGCCGCGCAGAGCAAGGGGCTGGTGGCGGGCAGCCGTAATCCTGTGCCTTTGTAACGAAGCCAAGGAAACCTTCTGGGGAAGCGCTTGGCGCGGGTTGTGATACTGTTGGGTGGGCGTTCTGTGCTTTTCTTCAGCGGGTGCTTGGCAGTTTTTATTTTTAAAAAGGGTTGAAAATCCTGAAAATGTTTAAATAAAGAGCTATTAATGATAATACAGCTCATGTGACTCATTCTTTTCTGTCTTGAGGCCGAAGAAATGTTCTTCTCAGACTCAGAGCCATCGTGTCTTTGCTGGTCAGTGTGGTGGGTCCAGCCACACCGCTGTGGAGCCACGAGCCATGGAGCCGCGAGCCTGGAAGCGCCGCGGGGCTCGCCGTGGTTGCCCAGGCGCAGTGGGACGTACCGGGACTTGGGGGAAGGCCCTGAACCTGCCGCTCATGCTCGTGGGGGCTGTGCGTGCGTCCATCTCACAGCCGAGCTTCACGATGGGCCCTGGGTTTCGGTGGCGCACCTTGCCAGCGCAGCTTTCTAGATCTGAAAGTACAGAAGTAGGGCAGAGCGGAGCGTCTTGTGTCCCTGTCACTTGGCTTCCGTGGTTGCTGCAGAGTCTGAGTGCTGCCCGCCACGCTCCCTCGCAGCCTCCTGCCTGCGTACATGCAGAGAGAGGTGCCTCTTTCCACGACCATGACGCCCCCAGCAGGTCTCGGCACACGCTGGGCCCTGGGCCTCAGTGTTTCCGTGGCACACACACACACGGGCCGCATGCCACATTGGCTCAGCTGCGTCTCTTTCGGAATCCCTCCCCCCTCAGCGCTGTCCTGCCCACCCCCCGAGTCCTCGGTGACACCGTCCCACGTGGGTGGCGCGCTTTGCTCCCGTGGGTAAAGCTGCCTTTCTCTAAGCTGTGAGTGTGTGGCACGTCAGTGTTGGTGTCGCTCCGGCAGCAGCCGCTAACTGCATTGCGACCTGTGCCAGCAGCCAGGTGACGCGCAGCCCACGCCTGGCGCCTCCGCTCACTGCGGCCTGGAGCTTGGTCTTCGGTGACAGAGGGCTGTGGGGCCCTCGGCCCTGTGTTGTACACAGGTGCTGCTATGTCACCGTGGCAGGAGCCCTGGAGCAGCTCGTGTCCTCGCCAGCCTGTGAGGGTCACAGGCAGCTCGAGGTCCGCCTGCCGCGTTGCCACAGGGAGGTGACTTCAAGATCACCTGCTTTCGTGCTCCTTGCCGCTTCAGCGACACTTGACGGTTTGGCTGCATCCGTTTTTACCGAGATAGCGCAAAGTGGTGGCCTTCTACTGTCCATCTACGTTACTAGTTTGCCCTGTACATACATTCACACTGTTCTCTGTTTTTCTGCATTTGTATCACTGCATTCAAGCACGAGTTCTTCACTCAGTCAGTTTTAACCTGTTACTGTTAATGTCGAGCCTCAGCTTATTCCCAGCTTGGCACATGGGCGCCGTTTCCCCTGGGTTTGACGGCCCATCCTTCTTCCCGGCACAGTGAGAGGGACCCAGGCCCCCTGAGGCCCAGCTCCATCCACTGGAGTTTGGCAGTCAGGGCCGCAGGTGTGGGTGTGTCCACAGTGGCAGGGTGTCACTTCTTGGGGACTTCGCAGCAGAGAACTTGCCTGGTGACCCTGGCTGGCCCAGTCCGTGGCCTGGGAGGCGCTGGCCTGGCGGAGCAGCCTGAGGTGTGCGAGGTTAGTGACTGCCCTCACAGTCGCTCCCAGAGCTTCCAGAATGTCCAAGGCAGTTTTAGAAGTGTTCCTAACGTCCATGCTTTCACCGAAGTTTTCATCTCATTTCAGTCAGCATTTTGGCCGGTCTGATCCTGAAGAGCGCTTTGCTCCAAAGACGTCCTGCTGAGGGAGGGGTTCTCGTCCCCCCGTGGACCCGTGTCACTTTCCCAGAGCGTCACTGAGCAGCACGGGAGACAGACTCGTGACCTGCACGCCGTCATTCCCTTTGGACTTGGGAATATCTGTTAAGGAGATGCCTAACGTGGGTCCTCTGGAGAAAGCATGATGGGTATGCACAGCTTGCTGCACAGCCCAGCAGGTGTGCACAGTGACCTGCTTGCAAAGTCCTGCCCTGCTGTGTGTGACGGCAGAAAGCCGCAGAGCCCAGCTTGGTCACTGCAGTCACTGAGGGGACCATAGCAGCTGTTGGGAGTTGAAAGGGAGGGCAGAGAAGGACAGGTCCTGTTGTGTGCCTGTGTCTCCCGGAACGTGCACGACGCCTTCAGACCTTAGACCTGTTCAGTAGATCAGTAAGTGAGCCCGGGGGCCCCAGAGGGGCCCTGACCCTGCCGCGACAGTCTGCATGCGCTCAGGGAGAGCTCTGGAGCTGGGCTGACCGAGGCGTGGGAGCCTCACTGCCACCTGGCCGCAGTCCTGGGGGCGGGGCGAGCCTGTGGCCAGGGTCTCCGCGGGCCAGCCCCCACCAGGAGACCCGGCTGCGAGAGGACGGTGATGCTCCCGAGCCCAGCCTCACGCATGGCTCCGCCACTCCGCCTGCTTGCTCACAGGCAGCAGCGGCAGGCAGAAAACCTAAGAAGCACAACCTCCTGGCCGCTCAAGGGGAAAGAGCCGTGTCCCTCCCAGGACAGTCAGGGAAGGGGTCGGGGTGAGCGCAGGAAGGAAACGAGACAGAAATGCAAAGTAGCTCCAGAAACAGCTGACACTGACACGCAAGCGTTCACGCAAGGTGCAGGTGTAGGTACTATATTTTAATTACGTTTTGAATTGCTAAACATTCTGAGCTCAATATTTGAGAGGTGCAGATCAGTAAACATCCCCCCCTCCCCGCTCCCCTTGGCCCTCCAGAAAGGCAGCTGGCAATTTCCTGCCTTTCCTTCTAGGGACAGTCTGTACAGATGGAGTGGACAGGTAGGTTTCCCCTTTTCCACAGACACTGACATTCACACGGAACGTTCTGTCCTCCGAGCTGTTCCTGTGAACTAACTGAGCCCACTTCCAGTCGGTATCGGGAGTCCTCCCCGCTTAGCGAAGCGGCGGGCCCTCCCTGCCCTTCCCGCGCCCCCATGAGTAGACATTCGGTTTTTCCAGTCCTTCGTTACTGCCCCAAAGTCTGCAGGGAAGAACACTGCACTTTTCATTTCAGATGTCACACACAGGTCGGCATAAACCCCCGGAAGTGCCGTCCTTGGTCAGGGAGTGTGCATTTGAGATGAGGAGGGTGCTCGGCACGTGGGTGCTCTCATCAAATGAAGTGGAATTCACGGCAAGTGGCCGCTGGGAGAAGTGGGCAACCCTTCTCCGCTTTGTATCTGGAAAAGGAGTACTCTGTCAAAAACACGAACCACCTTGCAACAAAATATTGAGGAAAATCCAATATTACACGAAGAAAAGAGACGAATCCCAGTTACAGTGAGAAATGTTAATAGCATATCTCAGAAATAGGAAAATAAAGCAGAATAGAAGCATCTGAGTGTCAGTTCACAAGCCCGAGTAAGCACCAAGTCAGGAGATGGAGTACATGCTCTGCAGGTTTGGCCAGTAACTCCAAAGCTTACTCTTCTAAGAAGACCCATGAAGTAGACAAATCACTGATAACTGCTCAGTAAAAGGGAAGAGCACTCCACTGCGGAAAGCTTGCAAGCTTGCACGAACACCGAGTCTACTTCTGTACCCCTGGCTGCAAAGGTGGAGAAGCAATCCGAAAGCCCAGGTGAGCACGTATTAGCTGCCTGTTCCACCAGGAGAAGGCCTCCGCCGGCGGAAGTGCCCCTGACCCGGCCAGGTGTGCCCAGGTGATGCCTGGTGGCTGCTGCTGAGGGAAACAGCAGGTGGCAGTTACCCTGCATGCTCCTGGCCCTCCGTGGGGGGCTGAGTGTCTCCTTTCAGCAGTTAAGATGTGTCCAGGTGGGACTGTCTCCCCCTTCTGTTGTTAGGACAGAAAACACAAACGGGCTGCATGTGAACAACGGTGCTGGTTTCTCGGGGTTCTGCAGGCCGGGAGCTAAGGTGGAGGTGCCCCAGATTCGGGCAAATTCTGGGTCTTGGGAGGGCCACTTCCTGCTCCTGTGACCTCGGCAGTGGGAAGGCCATGGTTTCTCTTGTAAGCATGCGATCTCACGCGGGCTCGGCCCTCACGAGCTGATCCCCTCCCCATAGCACCATGTGGGGTGGGGAGGTTAGGCTTCCACGTCTGCGTGCGGGAGGGAGGGGAGGTGAGCATTCAGAGCACGGCTGCAGCACCACTGCACATCAGCAGATGCGGGGAGGCAGAGGGGCTTGCAAAGGGACTGCGTGTGGCCTTCTATTTCACAGGGGGCCTGAGGGTGGGCTCAGCCCTCCCTCTTCTTGGACGCAGCAGAACTGTCCAGAGGACTGTGATGTGGCGTACGTTTCCACAAACTCCTGTGAGATGCCGCCAACAAGGAGTGGCTGTCCCACCGAGGAGGAAGTCAGCCACTACAGGGCTGGCCTCAAGAGCTGCCTTTAACCCAGGCCCGGAATCCCAGCACTCTGGAAGGCTGAGCCAAGGCAGTCTCACGTTTGAGCCAGCCCGAGCAACTTAGGAATGAGGGCAGGTCCGTGGGAAGGCCCTGGTTCAACCGTTGATGCCAGAAACAGACAAAAAGATCCCTTTAGGGGCAGCCGAGGGGAAGCCTGGTTTGTTACGCTGATTTTTGGGACCAAGTGAAGAAACGGTGAACAGGAAGTCCTTGGAGCGAGGAGGAAATAGGGACATTTCAAGCCAGCTAGGACTCCTTCCTATGACCACCAGGCCAGCCCACAGCTCCTCCCCCATGGCCCCGCCTACGGCCTGCTCACACCGCCAGGCTTGACTCCACCCACTCCCCTGGCACCCTGCACACTAGGTCCTTTGCCTCTGAGCCAAGGACTTACAGAGTAGACAAAACCAGCCAATCACTTTCCACTCCAGCACCACAGCTGCTGATTGGTGGGTTGGGCACCACTGAGCTGCCTACCAGCAATAATGAACCTTCAGTGTCCACAAAGCACCTTAAGGGCCCCTGTCCCCCACCTGCCCTGCATGGCCAGTCAGGGGCCTTAGGCTGTGTTCCCTTAGGGGTGAGTGGGCACTCTGCAACCACTGCTCGTGGGAAGGAATAAAGAGGTAATTGTTTATGATCAGTGTTCACTGGCTTTTTTTTTTTTTTTTTTTTTTTTTTGGTCTTTTTGAAGCAAAGTTTCATTATACAGTTCAGGCTGGCCTTGAACTCA